TTTAAATTCTTTGCTACTGGACAAAAACATAAACAGGCTACAAGGCACAGCACGTGGTAGGTTATCGCTGTGTAATCACACTGCATTCAGACCCAAAATTACCAAACAGGTGGAATAAGTGTAATAAGTAATAAACTCCTGAAGGTTTTGAAATTAAGCACAAAAAGCGAACCAGGAATGCTTCTGCTGGCTTGTCAAAGACTGAAACTTATGAAAGTCATAACGGGATAAAACTGACATAGGTTGTGATGGCTAAATCTCTAAAGGTTAAACCGCAAAGTAGCAAAGTACTTTCTTCAAGGGACACAACATTGCAACAATAACTCTGTGAGCTATGCACAGTCAGACGTCACTACTTATGCAGAAATTCCCTCCGAGGATCCTGATAGCATGCACACTGTGCATCCTAGATCTCAGTTCAGAGAACTGCTATATATTGGCAGAATGCTGAATTTGGAGTAGGGAAGTGATCGTGCCCCTGTACTCGGCACTGGTGAGGCCGCACCTTGAATCCTGTGTTCAGTTTTGGGCCCCTCACTACAAGAAGGACATCGAGGTGCTGGAGCGTTCCCTCCGAGGATCCTGATAGCATGCACACTGTGCATCCTAGATCTCAGTTCAGAGAACTGCTATATATTGGCAGAATGCTGAATTTGGAGTAGGGAAGTGATCGTGCCCCTGTACTCGGCACTGGTGAGGCCGCACCTTGAATCCTGTGTTCAGTTTTGGGCCCCTCACTACAAGAAGGACATCGAGGTGCTGGAGCGTGTCCAGAGAAGGGCAACGAAGCTGGTGAGGGGTCTGGAGCACAAGTCTTATGAGGAGCAGCTGAGGGAACTGGGGTTGTTCAGTCTGGAGAAGAGGAGGCTGAGGGGAGACCTTATCGCTCTCTACAACTACCTGAAAGGGGGTTGTGGCGAGGGGGGTGTTGGTCTCTTCTCCCAGGTAACTAGTGATAGGATGAGAGGAAATGGCCTCAAGTTGTGCCAGGGGAGGTTTAGATTGGATATTAGGAAAAATTTCTTCACTGAGAGAGTGGTCAGGCATTGGCACAGGCTGCCCAGGGAGGTGGGGGAGTCGCCATCTCTGGAAGTGTTCAAAAAACATGTGGACGTGGCACTTTGGGACATGGTTTAGTGGGCATGGTGGTGTTCGGTTGAGGGTTGGACTCAATGATCTTAAAGGTCTTTTTCAACCTTAATGATTCTGTGTGATTCTGTGAATTTGCTGAGAAACCACTCTGAAAATCCAAATATAAGGTACACTGAAAATCCTCATCAAAAATAACACTCTGGGACAAATGTCTTCTGTGGGATGGAAGACAAAGCCAAGTACAATGTGTACACTATAAGAAAATTTTAATTACATTTTCATTTGTTTAAAAACAAACAAAAGGGTGAGAGCTCCTTCCCACAAAGGACTTGTATTTTTAAAAAGTTGTATTTTACTATATCTTGTAAAAGTTTTTACCTGAACTTTCATATTTAATTTGGTTCTACTTAAAAGCATTGTGGTTTTAATTAGATCCTGGCTAGAAGATAAGCATTTACCAGATCAGGTTTAATCTACTGATGGTGAACCTCAAATAATGAGACAGTGAAAACTTTATAAAAAAAGTGTTCAGAAACTGCTG